TGGTATAGTAGCCAACCAGTTTGTTTATTATGACAGTGTAGGGCATCTGCAGGTCAATTTCTTTTCTGTTTTATTCTGGTTTTGTGAATACTATCATTCCTGGCTTCTGTTTAAACACTGTTTTCTTGCTGGTAAGATTACTGCACTGTTCTTAGTGACTTAATGTGCAACAATGGCTTTGTTTACTGTTAACCCTTGTCAATGGAGGTGAAGGGGGGGAAAAACACAATTATTTTGATAGGACAGGAAAATCTTATAGCTCTAGTTCCCTCCACAACTTTTCTCAATCATGAAAAGCACGGATTAATGGTATTACATTTAGGATGTGGCTATGTAACCAAGTGAAAATGTATTCTAGGATAGCAAGGGAACAGTTGTGTTGGTGACCTTGTGTGTACAAATCCCAGTCTCTAGATAGAATATCTTCTGGATTTTATTGCTCTACACCTTATGGATTAGGCTCCCATTTGTACTGGAGATTTTACTGGAAATGTGATATTGGCTCCCTGGTAACCATCACCTGTAGAAAACAGGGGACCCTTTGATTCCTTTGTGGTGCAAGTCTCTTCTTCGTTTTGGGTACTATAAGAAAAGGCACAGTCTTAATGCTTTAACTAGCCAGATTGTACCCTACTGTCTAAATAGACAGCTTGGATGATGTAGTCTACTGTTGTAATGTCTCATCTTTTGGAAAGCGAGAGTAAAGCAGAAGAATATGAATTAAATGGTCATCTCACAGTCGTAAGGAACAGCTGTTATGCTGTGTAGGTGAACATGATTATATGAAATTTGTGCTGAGGAATTGTTGTGGCAGAACTGTCCTTAGGTTGATGTCCAATATCTGGGTTCAAGCATGTTCTAGGACTTAGCAAATACACTCACTAGACTAACTTTAAACTATATTAATCTAAAGATTAAGGACTTGATTTGGGTTCAAAGGCCTCTTCGTTGACTGTTGTCTTGGTTTCTTAACAAAATCAATTTGTGTAAAAAGCTTTACAGTGGTTTCGAGAAACACTAGTAGCTTTTAAAATGTTGCATTTAAATTTGCAGCCCAAACCAGGAAAACATACTAGTATTTCTACAAGAGACCTGAACAGCATGGGGTCGTCTGAAGAACTAATTTCTGATAGATCTAGTGCTGCTTCAGATGTCTTTGAGTCTTCGTTCAGTGGCAGTTCCTCAGCGCAGGACAAAAAAGCCCTTCCTGCACTAAGTAAGGTAATGGCAAGGATTCTTAATATGAAAATAATTTTTGTGATGTTCTGATAAAAAGTAAAAACTGAATGTAGTTTACTTCCTAATTTAAAGCTATATTGTTGTGTTTAATAGTTTTAAGGCAAAGTAGTCTGTTCTGTAATTGCTGTTCTTGAATGTGTGTTCCAAGTCTATAACACAATGAACATAAGAGCAACTATAAATGTGTTGGATTAACAAGCATTACCTTTGTTTTTGAAGCACTAGCTGCAGGTAAGTGATCAGCAATATTCTTTAAGAAACAAAGTTTCTGATATGTGTAGCTAACTATACCATATGAAAAGGTTGCCATAACTTGTATGAAGGTAGAATACCTACAGCTATCAGGAGTTGTTCTGAATCTTTAGACACCTACTTCCATGCTGCGTGCCACTTTACTGAATCACAGAATGGTTGATGTTGGAAGGGACCTCTGGGGCTCATCTGGTCCAACCCCCTGCTCAAGCAGGGCCACCTAGAGTTGGTTGCCCAGGACCATGGCTTTTGAATATCTCCAAGGATAGAGATTCCACAACTTCTCTGGGCAACCTGTGCCACTGCTTTATTGCCAGGTAACCCTTGCAATAAAAAAAAAGTGTTTCCTGATGTTCAGAGGTAGAATCTCCTGTGTTTCAGTTTGTGCCCATTGCCTCTGGTCCTGTCACTGGCCACCACTGGACCCTATCCTTTCAGACGTTTTTATATATTGATGAGATCCACCCTGAGCCTTCTCTTCTTTAGGCTGAATGTTCCCAGCTCTCTAAACCTTTCCTCAGATGAGAGATGCTCCAGTCCCACAATCATCTTAGTGGCCCTTTGCTGGACTCTTCCCAGTAGCTCCAAATCGCTCTCATACTGGGGAGCCTGGAACTGGACACAGATCTTCAGGTGTGGCCTCCCTGGTGGTGAGCAGAGGGGAAGGATCACCTTGCTTGACCTGCTGGAAACAGTCCTCCTAATGCAGCCCAGGATACCATTAGCATTCTTTGCTGCAAGAACATGTTGCTGGCTCATGTTCAGCTTGTCCATCAGCACTCCCAAGGGCCTTTTCTGCAAAGCTGCTTTCCAGCTGGTTGGGTGCCCAGCATATACTGCTGCCTGGGGTTACTCCTTTTATTTTTTTCATCCCCTTAAGTCCATACTCAAGTTTGTGGCAGGAATAAAAATAACAGTCCACCTCCTAGATCTGATGTTCCAGTTCTGTACAATAGCCCAGATGTGATGAACTGTTTCTAAGAAAATTCACCTTTAAGCTGTAATCTGAGGAAGGAGCTTCTCTAAAACTCACAAATAAAGAGATACCAAAAAAAAGTATGACAAAATGATGTGTTAAGTGCTTTTTTGTTTTTGAATATTCTCTGATTCAGCCTGGCTTAAAGATAACACATCTGAAACTTCCTGGTGTTGCCTGTGGTCTCACAAGGAAGACTACTTCGTTGTCTTCGTCATCAGTTTCCAGCATGAACTTGAGTCTGAATTCAAGTTTACCCATTTCTCCTGTAGGAAAAAATGGTAATCACTCTTACTACAGATTTGTGCCACAAATCAATTTTGAAGTAGCTAAGCATGTCTTGGACTGTGGGTTCAGATATGTTTTAATGGTGTCCAGCAATAAGAAATGTTTTGAATGGAGAATAAAATTTTGTAGGCTAGCCCAATAAATCCTTGTGGACTAGAGATAAGTCTTGGACTTCTATCATTTGTAAAAATTAGATTTCATGTAAGCCCAATGCCTGCATGCGAGGGTCTGACACAGCTAGAACATAAGCAGTCTAACTTGAATCTGCAAGCTGTTTTGGCATTCCATGAAGAATATTCTTTGACTTGATTGCAGTAGTTCAGGAATTTGGTGAGGAGACTTTCTAAACCAGACAAAATTGCTGGAGAATTTGGGGAGTAAGTTTTCAGTAGTTGTATGTGTTCTCCTTAAAGTTGAGTGGTTTGAACATAAATTTAAATGTGGTAAATTGCTGTTTTTCTTTCCTGTGTGAGTGTAACTATTCTGCTGAGTCAAAAACTTAGCAACAGGTGATGATTCAGAAGTATAACTTAACTTTCTATTTCAGGAAAATCAAGTCTGTCTTCAAAACCTAGTGTGAGTGGCTCTAAGCTTTCATCTAGTACAAACAGGCAGTCCTTTGTCAGACCTACCAGAGTGTCATCTCTGCAGGCTGCTAATACTGAGAAATCCAGGAAGCAAGCAAGATCAGCTAGTACTCCCAAAATATCTAGTGCTGTAAGCTTGGCTAAAACTTTGGCTTCTGCAACATCATCTGAGGCTGTAGGCAGTGGAATTCAGAGGCTGAGCTCTGTTCCCAGTCTGCAGAAGCTATGTCAGCAGAACAAAGATGGAAGTGCAACAAAAAGAAGCCCGTGTCCAAAGCCCAAGGCTAGAGTTGTGTCTGTTCCTACAAGTCTGACTAAAGTTCCAGTGAAGACTGGAGGTAAGCACATACTTTGCATGACCTGTCTTCTAGCTTGGCTGTTAAAAGCAAATGTTACCTTAAATGCTTGTTATTTAATTCATTACAGTTCTGTCCACCTCTTGGAAGGAATTAGTATTTTAACTGAAAGGTATCTTATAAAAAAATAAATACGAATGTGGGTAGTAATTAATAAAACTTTTCTCTTTAGATATACCACCAAACAAATCAGCACCAAAAGCAACACCATCTCTTGGATTAACATTTTGTGGCACACTTGGAAGGTAGGGCTTAACTGAAAATTGAATGTCCTGAGGCATACTTCTTAGAATGCAACATGGTTGGGTGTTGCAACAATCTTTAAATGTTCTAACTTCATTGTCTAGTCCCTTAAGAACTCTTCAGGTTAGCTGTGTTAATGCCTATTGGAACTGATTTAAAAAAAAAACCAAAAAAACCCAAAACTAAACAAGCATCCCCACTGCCAATCTTCAGAAGAAGAGGGTTTTCTTTGCAGTGCTAAATAAGACTAGAGTCATTCATAAAAGAATTCTTATGAAGTAAAGCCTTTACTATGCTGTGATTATCAACTTTATAGTGATTACTCTTCCCTTACTGACCAAAGAGAAACTGATTTCTATTGTTTGGTAGAATAGTTTGAATTAAACTGTTTCTAGAAGCTTTTGGCTAATCCTGTTCCTTTTTAGTGCCATGGCAGTCAGCACTCCTGTGAAAGCCTCAGAAGATGGGATTTTTCAGAATTCTTGTCTTCCTGAGAGGTCAGTCTCCGTGACTCCTGCCAGTCTGAAAAGGTCTGGCTTACCTACACCTGTTCGTCGTATCTCAGGATTTCCGGCAGTGACTCCTAAAACTGCACCAAGAATGGCATTTACTCCACACACTGCATCTATTCGCCAAAGTTCCAGCTTTTCTGCTAAAAAGACTCTTACAGCTGGGTAAGACAGAAACCTCCAGAAACTGTCTGGTTTTACTTGATTTTGATACAGTTTTAAAAACTGTAGTTTTTACTTGATTAAAGAACTCAATTTATTGCCAATGCTCTTTTCCCTAGTTCTAAACAGACAAAAGAGAGTAAGATGCCGATATCTTCTTCAGAAGATGATATATCTCCTCCACCTGTGCTACCTCTTGCACTTAACTTCTCACCAGAAAAAACTGCTACAGAAGCAGTAGAAAATGAATTAAAAGAGGTTGAAGTACAAAATCAGCTGGCTGAAGAGAAACAAACTGAGGTAAGAAATGACAATACATTCTTCTACAGAACTGCTAAGTAAACTGAAAATAAATTATTTCAAGATGAGGCATAAGTAGGAAAATTACTTCATTACACACGAAGTTCCAATGGATTAATTTTAAGTGTGTGTACCCTCTAGTGCCTATTTTTAGCACTGAACATCTGTTTGGTGTTTCCATTAAGTTTATTCTCATTTCAAAGCTGAATGGTGAAATACTTGCAGATTTCATATTAAATTTCCACTTCTGGATAAGTGCTGTGGAATCCCCGTGGGTTTGAGAAAAGCAGTGCCACGGGGCACTTACTATTGCAGCCTTAAAGCCATTTTGAAAAATAAAAAAATGCACTGCTATAGCTAAAATCAGTCTTCTAACAGCAGTGCAAATCTGCATACAATGAATGAGGATTAAATCCCAAAGCCCATGTAGCAGTAAATTTAGTTATCATGTACTTAGTCCAGTGAACCCTTTTTCCCTCTCGCAACAGTCTACTGGCTTCACGTTGAAAGCTGGCACTCCGCAGGTGTTAAGGAGAAAGGACTGAAATGGTGATTCTGAAATAACCTGTCATAGTGGCTATTGATTTACAAATATTCAGGTGTAGAATAATCTGTAGATTAATTCATGTTATTGCATCGGTATTTTCCTTGTTAGCTTACTTCATGACGCAAAGCATCTCATACAGAATTGCTTAGCACATGTATAGAGTAAACTGGACAAAAGCATAACTAGAGCTTGGAGCTCTACAGAATAGTTTATATGGCTAAATAACACTGCACAATAATTGTAGTCAAGCCATTTCAATATTAAGAGATTTATTACTCTTCTGTTTTAAATTTGACTTAACTCTGCTTTTAAGTGAAAAATTGGTTTATGCCCCAAGGAGCTCTTTTGCGTTCTCACTGCATTTTTGCTATTTGTGCTGCTAGCTATTGGCAGAGCAAGAGCTGAGGTTTTTACACTGTGTGTAAACAATCCTGTGTGAAAAATACCTAACCTGTAAATTAAGCCTGTCCTGTGATTAATTATAGCTGTGTAAGCTAAACTGACTGCCTAAATGTTTGAGGGAAGCATGGAGAACAGAAAGGAAAACCTGAACTATTTTTTTTTTTAAGGCCTTACTGGTAGATATTGGAGTAGACAAATCTCTCCCATACACTTTGGAATGTGAAAGTAGACCTCTGATTGACCTTTCCAATACTCCTGAAGTGAGCAAGATTACTCCTCTAAAGCCTGTGTTCTCAGGGCAGGTAAAGGTAAGTTACATTCATGGAATAACAGAATGGTTTGGGTTTGAAGGGTCCTTGAAAGATCACCTCGTTCCAACCCCCCTGCTGTGGGCAAGGAACCTTCCACTAGGCCGGGCTGCTCAGAGCCCCATCCAACCTGGCCTTGAACCCTTCCAAGGATGGGGCATCCACAGCTTCTCTGGGCAACCTGTTCCAGTGCCTCACTGCCCTCATAGTGAAGAATTTCTTCCTTCTCTCTAATCTAAAACTACCCTCTTTCAGTTTAAAGCCATTACCCCTTGTCCTGTCACTGCATGCCCTTGTAAAAATTTGCTCTCCAGCTTCCTTGTAGGCCCCCTTCAGGCACTGGAAGGCTGCAATAAGGTCTCTCCAGAGCTTTCTCTCTTCCAGGCTGAGCAACCCCAACTCTCTCAGCCTGTCTTCAGTCTTCTGGTGCAAATATGCTACCAGAAAAATGTCAGCTGGCTGCATATACTTGTCTGCAGAGCAGCTCCACAATACTCTTAAGAATTACTTAGTATTAGCTCAATAAGTTCAATATGATACTACATACTAAAGTGCTCTTAAGGGAACATAATGTTTAAAATCAAACCGTGTGCTCTAAATGAGAACTCTGAGCAATCTGCAAGTAGGAAGAGGAGGAGGATGGAGAAAGAACTTAATGCTTAAAGCAGTTAAAAGAACAAAACTGTTCTGAAGCACAAAGTGACTGTTGTCTTCAGTAGAGGAGGCACGCTGACTCTTCCTTTTCTTGCAGATTTTCAGTTCTTGGCAGTAACAGCTCATTTTCAGCAAAAAAGCAAGACTGTCTCTCCTATTTAACTCCTTTCCTAATCCCCTTCTTAGCTGAAAGATGTATGTTGGAATCTACTCTAAATTTGACAAGCATTGCTGGGCAAGTGGTTTTTGTACACTCGTGGTGTTGAAGGTAGATGGCTTTAGATACTGTCAGATGAACGGTGGTAGCTGTGAGGATGTAGCCTTTGACCGTAGATGTAGCTGGGATCAATTTAATATCAGGCCCTTCGGAGTATCTCAGAAGATGATCACAGGAGTCTGACTTCTGGGGGCATGTTCAGAGGAGTTCAGAAGTGTTCTGGCCTGCCTGGATGACAGTGTCACTTGAATTTGCGTAGTAGTGAAACCTAGAAAAGCCTTTTAGGCATAAGGTGAGTACAGGCAATAACCACCTTGTGAGGAGCTTGTGCTTGTCTAAGAATGAGCTAGATGTTTAAAAACCTGAACCTAAAAGCTTGTGTGTGATGCTTGTCTGGTCTTCCGATACTAATAGGAATCTTGAACAAAAAGATGTACTTGAGAAGACTATGTTAAATAGAGATTGCTGCTAGTAGTTACGGACAACAGCTGACTACAATCACTAAATTTTTTTTTTCTTTCAGCTAATTGATTTGAGTTCACCCCTTATCATGCTGAGTCCTGATGTAAACAAAGAAAATCTGGATTCCCCTCTACTCAAGTTCTGAACTTGAGTTGAAATGAAGAATTCTCGGCATCCGTAATCTTTAAAGTGTTCAGGAGTTACTTTTTACTCAGTTGTTTTTTTGAAGATGCTATAGATTATCTGGTGAACTGCATTAACACGATAGAATTCTAACAGTCTTGATATAGGCAAACTGAGTGATTAATGGTTCTGTTGATGGATGTGTTGCAATGGATGTATTTATGTGTTGCTCTAAGGCAAAAGGGATATTCTCTGTATTGGAAGCCTGTCTCTTTTCCCTACCAATTATCCTTTGATTCCTCATCCCCTATGTGAAACAAAGGTTTAATTTAAAATAAATGAGTTGTTTATCAGACTGTTGTACAAAATAGCAACCTTTTATTACAGGCTTTGGTTAGACTATTTTACTGTTTCACTAACAAATGTTAAGATTTAGGTAAAGCTTCAGGGTGGGTTTCATACAAAAGCGTAGCAAGTTTGGAAAGAAATGTTTTACTGTTGCATGTGAGTGGAATACGCCAACAGCAACAGCTGAATTTGTGTGATTCAAAGGAGAAAGCAACAGCTTGTTACTGCCAGATGGTTTAGTCTTGACATTTGAATGTTAAACTTGAACCTTGTCACTCTCAAAAAAAAAAAGCTTTCTTACCTGAATTTACCACACTTGGATAATACATGGAGATCTTAAGTACAGGGAGGTGAATGGACACGAAAATGCACGCAGTAGTAGCCCCTAAATGTTGAAGCAACAAGCCTAAAAGGCTTCTGTACTTTATGTGCATATATGAGCTTAATGTTTATGGAAGTTTATCAAGAGATGGAGGTGGATTTTCAGCTGTTTGTATTAATTCAAAAAGTGGTGGAAGTTGGAGACTAAATGTTTGTGTAGGAAGAAGTGTTCAGATGAGTTTGTCAAACATTTTGATGCTGAACAAGGCTGCTGCCTCGGCTTTATCTGAAGGTGCTTGCCTACTTCTCAGCACAGCTGCCTTTTCTGTGGGTTACTGTGGTCTCAGGGTCTGAATAAAGGCCTTTGGCCAGGCTGTGAAGACTCTGCTGAGCCAGAGGAAACAACTGTGCTACCTACCATAAAAATGTGCAGTTTTTATGCTTTCTTTGCTTGTTCCTGCTTTCCTTCTGTGAAAAGCAGGGCAGCTTCTTCAGCTGAAGCATTTAACTGCACAGCGCTGGCTCAAAGTTCTAAAAGCAATACTCAAGTCAGGTCCTCAACTAGTTTTTAAATGGGGGGATAGAAGAGTGTGGTTGCCTATTTCTAAACTGAAACAAAGGGAGATATTTTTTAAAAGATCATGAATTTTTTTTCTTGAGTGATGTTGTTTCTGAATTTTTTTTAAAAGCAGTAAATAGGTTTATGCCCTCTACTTCAAGGACTGGCAAGAGAGCCAGGCATTCTGTGCCCCTTGAGAGTAACATTTTGTGAAAGCATACTTTTGCCAGCAGCAGATCTAAATCCTGGTTTTTAGCATGAACAAGCTGGAGTCATCTGCCACTCGAAACACCCAACTGTGTGGTCCCTAAAGCAGGTGCCTGACCCCCTGAGTCCTCCTGGGAGTCAGCACTGCTCTTCACTGGCTACTGTTCACTGGAGAGCAGGCACGGAGCCCCCTGGGGCTGCAGCCAAGAGCCAAATTCAAACTTTCAAGGTATGAGCCCCTTGCTCAGGCAGCTGGAGATGCTTGAAGCAGGGTTTGTGTGGGATGGGGCACAGAGCTGGGGCACTGCATGGCTCTGCTCTGCAGGAGCAGCTTGGTGCCCCGGCCTTCGCCTTATCGAGTGCTAACGAACACGAAGCAATCCCAGGGAGGCTGTGATGTTTTCTTCTGGGTCTTCCTGGCTCCAGTTCACTTGGCTGAGCCTTGCTCAGGGAGGGCTGAAGGGCTCTTGCTTGGAGGGTTTGGTTGCTGGAGAGTTGGGGTTGGCCTGAAGGGGGGG